GATATAACCGCAAATCACCGCACAACGAAGCGAACGCGCGCTCCTCCGCTCGATTGCCTTCGCAATTTTCGCGAACGATCGATCCTCGGGCCGACGCAATTGCCACACGGCTCTCTCGCGAATCCGCGCTCACATTCTCGCATACAGCCGTGCATACTCTTTAAAGCACAATCAGTATATTCTTTACTAAAATGCTATACATATGATTGTTGGTTCAATTATGAATGTAGCGCAATGAGTCAAATCTCGTTGAAAGGATCAGTTAACAAGGGTAGCGATTATTTACCGTTACTGATGCAATATGCAGATGTAAAATTATGTTGCACCCAAGGCATATGAATATGACGTTAATTCCGTCGTCGTGAACGCGGAAAATTGGATTGCGTGTAGTGAATTTATGTATTGCAGATTTTGCAGTGAAATCTCATTTGCAGCCAAAAACAGTTTTTATTTTCTACAAAAAAAAAAATCAGTGAATACTCACTGATTATCCGCCAAAAAATACGTCCTGCTGATATAATCGGAAACTATCAGAAACATTATTGAACATTTCTCCCCTCCTCGTCCGGATAAAAGTCCGGATAAAACGGGAGCACGTTTATGCGAGATACGGGACGTGCCGAAACATCGCGCGCGTGCGCGATAAACTCGTCGGGGCTAGCGATGCTGGATACTAACATAACGTAACGCAGTTTCGTAGTTTTCTCTTTTTTCCGATTTGAATGTATTAAATTGAAAATGGTTTTATAGGATGAAAATACAAACGTCAATGAATGGATGATGCGCTAAATAGTTGCATGAAATCAACAAAAGAATTTTTATTTACTGACCGATTATAAAAAAAATTGTTTGTTGATTTCAACTGTTTAGCATCAATGCATTCAATTCAGAAAAGAAAGAGAAGACTACAAAACTGCGTTATGTCGGTATTCAGAATCGCTTTAGGATTTCTGGGTATTTGCTGCGGCCATATTGGATCGTGACATCAAAAGTGAAAAATAACAATGCGTTCCATAAAAAGATACTTTTATGAAAGAACACTTGAGATCGCTTGTGGACGTTTGTAAAATGTTCCAATCCTTTTCCCTTTACGGTCAATAAATAGCCGTGAAATAAACGTGGCAAAATAAAAACAAAGGATTGAAGAGAAAATTGCACTTTGCGTTAATTTCAAAGCTATATGTTGATTGTCAAGAGAAGATTGTTTTCGGAGCGTTTTAGAATATTGAAGCGATGCGAAATGTTCTTTCATACAAATAAAAAGTTTTTTTCTTTCATTTGGAGATGGCGAGCGAGAATTTTGGATACGTCTTTTAAGACTTCGTCAATCCGAAGTTTCGCGGCGAGTAACCCTTAACGAATGGCACCGTTGGTGGGCGAATTTGCATGTGAAACACGGCGCGCTTTATCGGCGAAAATTCATCTCCGGCTGCGCGAAACGCGGTCAGAGGCGGAGGAAACGCTCTCTCCCGCCCGCAGGAGAGACATTACCGCGATCTACCTCGCTCGACGTGCGCGAAAATGATACTTATAATGAAAGGAGGGGAAGAGCGCGTAAAGGGAGTAACGTAACGCGACGAAGTAACGTAATCCCTCGCCGTACCTTGCGCCTTTCATTTCTCTCTCGACTGTCGCACAATGGTGTCTGTTCTAAAGTCGAGTCATTTAATCCCCCGTGACGCCCCCCGCGCGACGAAAGGTATAATAAGATTCTCCATCGCACCTCGTTAAGAGGAAAAATCGCGATTTCGGATTAACGAGTGGATCAACGAAACGGGGCTCAACGGAGTTGAAACGAAAGAACTACGTCGCTCTTCGCGCTTCAGGTGGATCGATATCGCGTCCAGTAGCCGGCACTCGGCCTGTTTTCGACACTCTTGCGCGGATTTTATGAAATATTGAGGCTCCTGGCTATTTGCCGCGACCATTCTGGCTTGTGACGTCAGAAGTGAAAAAACACCCGCAAAACATGTCGAAATAAAAAAGATATATTTGCGGGATAACACTTGCAACCGATCGGGTAAATGTATAACATAATAACCGGACACTTTCTCTTTACTCTGACAATCAATAAATGACCGTAAAATTAACGCGACAGAATTGTAAGTAAACAAAGGCAGATTGCATGTCATATTAATCTCGCGATTTATTGATTGTCGAAGCGCAAAAGGAGAATGCTTGGATTTTACAGATTTCCTCGATCGATTACAGATGTCACTTTTTGGACATATATCTTTTTATTTTTACGTACTTTACAGGAATTCTGAGTACTTTCTCTTTTGATGTCATCAATGAAGAATTTCGCGGCGAGCAGTCAGGAGCCTTAAAGCGTGTGTGGGAATTAAGAATAATAATTGACTAATAAATCATAGTCGATCAATTATTAATAAATCCACATGCGTCGTATAACATTTAGCAAGACACGCGCAAGAGCGCCGAGAGTCAGGTCGAGTGCCAGCTGCTAGACGTTTTAACTAACATATCGTCGACGCGTACACATCCCGCGCGAGACACCGTTATTCACACAAACGTTAAATCATAGGGGCCAGTCTCCATACATACGATACATACAGCAAATCACGCGCGCAAAACAATGCGCGAGACGGCTGCCTTCGACAAAATCGAAAGTAACGAAATCTTGATAACGTTCGCTTGAAATAGAGCTGCTTGGGCATGCGATCGATTTGCATACTTAGGGGTAGTAGTCCCGCTAGAGATCCTTTATTCTTTACGAGCATGCGCACGTTTCTGAACTTGAACACGTCTGGCATTTTGTCCTTGATATGTTAAGGCAGTGAACGGCAATACGTGTAAGCACTTTTTGCGATTTCAGCCTTGCCAGATTTTAGAACTGACTTTCTCTTATTTTCGAAATTGTCGATCTCTAAAAATCAAGAACTCTTTTTCATTATTACTTTATATTGTTTCCCAATTCTTCTAACACACGATAATTTTTGTACGTTGAGAAATAACGATTATTGTGGAGAAATTGTTTATGTATATATCTTTAAATTCAAGTCTTGCACATAACTTCACATAATTTCACTGATCTTCACCAATCTTTGCAGAATCTTTCGTTTTAATATACATAATAGAATCATCAGTTTAGAAAGACAAAATATTCGGGCGACAATCTAAGTTGTACTAAGAAAGGATACTTGAAAATTTATTTGTGAGATATAAAGTTTATTTCCACGAATGAACTTTATATCTCGCAAATTTTCAAGTATTCTTCTCTCAACGTCAATCATGATTACGTCAATAATTATTTTACATAACGTTTCGCGTTTTCTTATTGAGGGAAATCTGGCCTTTAGATTGGCAAAGAGAAATCTGTTATGAAGAGCATTTAGAGTCAAAACAAAAGACGTTCAAAAATTTTTTTTAGATATTAGCAGCTAAAAAGTAACATAATTAAGAGAGACATTCCACATAGAACACAGATATTCATATAGCGAGAAAAGAGAACAAAAGAGAAGATGTGGAAAAAAGCAATTAGCGTATATCGCAACGCAGTGGAAAGCGTGGAAGCTGAGTGAAATACGACTTATCCCACTTACTGCTCTTTATCTTATCATGACTGTGTGTTCTTTCTCGTTACGATCGTTTTACGCGGAGAGAAAGATAGATTCAATCGCGTGACGGACGTTTCTTTCTAATGAGTGTTCCAGGTTTTCTTTGTTGTTGAATTCATTGTTCGCATTCAAATAATTCAGCGAAGACGTACACGAAGAGAAAAATTGTAGAAAAGTTACGCCAAAGTGTTTGACGTAATCCTAGACTATACAGAATTATAATTGAAATTACAATATATATTTGTTTAAAAACTTTATGCACACTTGATTATTTACTGCAAAATTACTGCAATTACTTGAATGATTTTTATGTCGTACATCACAGATAGTAGAGATCGTCAAAGAGGGAGACCAAATCCCTATACAATGTGCTTCATTCCGAGGCAGTGAAATCAATAAATGAAATGGGTACCGTTTTAAAGATCTCGACGAGCTGAAAATTTTAGTATCTATCTCGAGTTGATCCGGTTTCCGGAAATACAGCGTTCCAAAAATCTGATTTCCGTTACGGTTTTTAATTTATAGAAAATGTTAAGGTTGAAACTTCGGAACGATTAAGGGCGCGTTGGAAAGCTAACAGTGTCTACTTTTCAGGAAAAAATATATCATTCTGATAAAGTGCCAAATAGCCGGAAATCCAGGTGTTCCAATTAGAATTTTGATATTTCGGTTTTGAGTTCTAAAACCATTTTCAATCGAAAATTTGGCACTTTATCAAAATAATTTTTTTTTTTCTGAAAAATAAACACTCTCAGCTTTCCAACGCGCCCTTGATTGTTCAACGAAATTTCAACGCTAACATTTTCTATAAATTAAAACCCGTAACGGAAATCAGATTTTTAGAACGCTGTATTTCCGGAACGAAAAATCGAATCAACTTAAGATAAATACCAAAATTTCCAGCTCATCGAGATCTTTAAAACAGTATCCATTTCATCTATTAATTTTACTGCCTCAGAATGGGGCACATTTTGGCCGCCTTCTTTATCATTTCTACAACGATTTTTGCTACAATTTCAGTACAATCCAGTTTTGCAAAAAATATCGAAGAAATAATTAAAAAAATATAATTATAGTTATAAGATGATCATAATAGAATGTAATCGCATAAGAAGAAATATAAGTTTAACATCATTTTTACTACACTATTCTCTCCGTGCACATCAATCACACGATACACACATACAGACATACACGACAGATAACATACACATACAGACATACAAGACATATCAAGAAGATAGAGGAGACACGGTAAGTTACAGCAGCATTTTAGCGTCTGTCGGAAACTTCCTAACTCAAATGAGACGTGGCGGATTAAGGGAAAAGATAACACACGAGAGGGTCCAACGTGAGAGCAACACTTGCACGATCGTGGACGGGAGGAGGAAGACGGGAGAGCCGAAGAATTTCCAGAAGCAGAGATTACATGAAAAATTGATGTAAGTAATATATTTCCATATTTACAAGAGAACGAGCGTATAGTAAGTATATAAGTAAGTATATAAGTTTAATATCGGCGTAGTTGATTACTCGTGTGTATGTTTACGTTGCACTTGTAAAAATATAAAGCGCGTTTTTTCAAAACGTAATTATTCCGTCGATTCGTTCCGTTTGACTGGACATTTTTCCAAGTCTGTAACCTGACTCTTTTTATACTCAAAGTGTGCAAAACGCATGTTTAATTATCAATTAATTATCAATGGGAAATTTATTTGTCTTGGCATCTTTGTGGTCTGCACAGTTGACTGCACTGCACATAGAATGTAAAAAATTAAAAGTTCTGAGAGAAATATTTTTTTACATCCTGATGATTTCTGAAGTTAAGGAAAGCTTGATACTCTCACGAAATTTTGAAATAGTTTGCTTTAGGAGAGTATAATTCGGGAAAATTGTATCTCGGAATATTTATCTCGGTACTCGCGTTTCGCGATTGGTGACTTTTCGGGAAATTGTCCCAGTTTCCTCGAATTTCGAGATCTCGCTTTCTCGGGACAATTCACACGTATTAGAATGTGAGTATCGTCGCCGGCGACCCGCTTTTCGCAAGATATCGCGCTCATCGACGCAACGAGTACATTTTGAAAGAACGCCTCGGCAAAGATGCTTTCACTGAAAGCGATTAAATCTTCAAGGACTCGTTCGGATTCTGATAGACCGCGAGCTTCAAGCTCTTCGACAGGCCGCGGCTCTGGCGGCGGCTTTACAAAAATCGGACCTTTCGTTCCAACGAGAACGAAAGTCTTCGCTGCGTAGAAAAATACAGGGTGCTCGACAAAGTCTCTGTCTGTTTTGTACGAGGATCCATCTTGCGTGCGCGCTGTAGAGACAAGCTGCTGATATCGAGCCGCTAAACTATGCGCGCGATCTCTTCTCCTCGAACTCTCCCTCAGCCCTTCTCGCGAGAGATTTCCAAGGGCACCTGCCTTAAAATCAATTCGCTCGGAGATCTCGTTAAAGAAGATTGTCGTCCCACAAAAGTCGAAAGAAATATTCTTCCTTTTTCTTTTTGCGTAACATAAATTTTAGGAAGGACCAGGAGGACCAGAGACTTAACAGACACCTTGCACAAGAATCTCAGGGAATTCCTCTCGAGGAATCCCTCGCGCATCAAAAGCGAAGATCTCGGCGCAATAACATGCTAAACCGCGGAAAGAGAGAAGGTCCCGATCTTTCCTGTACCTTCGGATCCCAATAAAAAAAACATCTCCCTCTTGCAGGAATAGCGAGGTACGTGCGTTGCACGAGAAATAGAGGCGCGAAGAAAGTGTTCCTCTTCAATAATTTACGGCTCTCTTCGATCGCTCGCCCGTTTGCGTTTCCTGGCGAGCTTAACACGTTATTGCGCCGAGCCGTCAGCCTCCTTGACGCGATCGCACAGCCGAGAAAATTCCTCGCTGATTAAATCGTCTCGCGATATCGTCTTCGCAAACTACGACGCCGTCTTTCATACAAGATGTTTGAATCGCGGCAGGCCTCGAGTTTCGTTCGTGGCGAACAATTCTGCCGATATTCTCGCGATCGACAGGTGCGCGAGGATACAAAACGTCGAACGAGATACAAAATATCCTTAGATAATCGCGGAGGGGTCGCGCTCTCCTGTTCGCCGAGGACGCATCATCGTGCCCTTTCTATCCCTCGCAGAGCTTGACTCGGCACGCCGGGAGGCAGGGCGGCTGGTTCGCCTCCTCTGGCTTCGGGATCGTTGCTGGCGGCTTCCGAAGCCCTGAACCGCTTGTACTTCCCTGCAATTCAGTAAACTTTGTGTCTCACATCATTGCTCTTGTCGCTCTAAGGTCTAAAAACTTAACGTAAATTTCGTCGCGAAGAATTCCGCTGAAAACCTGATAGCTCAGCAGCTTATAGAAGAAGTTTAGATCTTGTTCTACGCAGAGGACAAGATGCAAACTACCTCTGTGAGATTCTAAAGTAATCTGATCTACAGTGTGTTCTTTCCTTCCTGTTTCTTGTCCTCTATCTTTTCTGGCTTACGGCATGAGATGTAAGTCAGAAGGAAATTAAGAAAAAGAAATAGGAAACAAGGAATATACATTGTAGATCAGGTTTAATAATATTTATGCTTTTAGAACATCTAGAGATGTGGACGTTAAGATCCACACCTCAAAACACCTCGGAACTAACCCGGAGCTGTCAGTTGTATAGCTGTATAGCTGGCTATAGACTCACAAATAAACCTACCCAGAAGTTACCCATAAAATTATTTGTATAAGTAATAAAATGTTTAAATAAAACATATAAAAAGTTGAAAGAATTATTTATACAAATAATTTCTCGGTTTGGCCGAGATTTGAATCATTTTTGACTAATTTAGCACAGATTTAAAATATTTTGATTGGAATCTCGGCTAAAAAAATTTAGAATGGTTTGTGTCTCAGCTATGCCGAATTTGTTAAAATTATTCAACTATATTTCTATATCTTGTATTCAATTTTCGATTTCTCTCTAATTTGGCACAAATGTAGAAGTACAAAAAATATTTTCATTTTGGTCCCCTTTGAGTTTCACGGACAGTTCATAGTTTTTTAATGTTTTCACTCCTATCATCAACAAGTGCAATAAAAACGCATAAGAAATAAAATTGAATACAAGATATAGAAATATAGTTGAATAATTTTAACAAATTCGGCATAGTTGAGACACAAACCATTCTAAATTTTTTTAGCCGAGATTCCAATCAAAATATTTTAAATTTGTGCTAAATTAGTCAAAAATGATTAAAATCTCGGCCAAACCGAGAAATTATTTGTATAAATAATTCTTTCAACTTTTTATATGTTTTATTTAAACATTTTATTATTTATACAAATAATTTTATTTGACTTCATATTCATAATCAGCAAAAACGCCTATATCGTGTTCAATTTTATTCCTTATGTATTTTTGTTACACTTGTTGATTAGGAATGAGAATTAAAAAGCTATAAATTACCCGTGAAACCCAAAGTGAGCCAAGATGAAAAAATATGACCGAAATACTTTTTGTACTTTTAAATTTGTGCCAAATTAGAAAGAAATTGTAATGTAACTTTTGAGTAAGTTTACTTGTGAGTACATTCCTGCATTAGTAGAAACATGATAAAATTAAAAAGAAACTTCATACGCGAAAGAGACTATAGCCAAAATTAGTCTATCAGTTCCCAGAAGCAATTAGGACACTTACTAGCTAAGCGAACCATCGTAACGCCCCACCAAATGCTCCAACCCCATCCGACGAGGCAAAATAAAACGGTGAATAGTTGGCCCACGCCCACGACGAGATTCACGATGAACGCACCCAGTCGTGATTTCAGTCCAGCGACAGGAGAAAATCTCGGCTGTCCGGTGCACAGATTGAACAGCCCGCTCCAGACGGTTCCTGGAAATTCAATTAACATTTACCAAATATTTCTTCTATATATGCATTTCTTCTTTCAAAAAATAAACTATCTCTTCCGTTCAGAGTTGCGAGTAATTGATTAGTTTTTCGATCAATTATCGTGTTTAATCGACCATTGATATGAGCCAATTCGATTGGAGACCGTTTAATTGGCAACTGATTTCAATCGTCCAACTGTCAATCGTTGAATCGTTACGCACTTATTAGTCAATTGTTAACTAAACGATTTTTGATCCCCTTCGCTCATATCAATCGTCAGTTAAACGGTCTTTAATCGAATTCGTTGAAATCGATCGTCAGTGAAACATTTTTCGATCGATTTTGCTCGAATCAATCCTCAATTAGCGGAATCAAGATATATAAGGTGTTAAGTCCATTGTTAGGTTAAGAAAAATTCGATTGATATTTTTAAAACTACGCTTCCGTCGCGGAAGATTTTTACTTTTCCTCGAGCGAAACAGCTCGAGACGGAGAAGGGTGCAGAATTGGTGTGGTCGTACCAGAGCCAGGTAGCAGGACGTTCCACACCAGACAGAACCAGGCGAGAGGAACCGGCAGGCAGGGAATAGCGCCGCGCATGACGGAATTGTGCTCCACCAGGACATCCGGTATCTTGGCCTTCGGTTCCTGCGACATTGCGCATCGAGTTCTCGCATTAGAAGTGAGGGAAACGGGCCGGCGAGTTTCTGGAGCACGTGTGTCCCGCCAAGCGGACCGTGCCGCTCCGTTGCGTCCCACTTTCGAGTCGCTCGGGTGCAATAATGGCTCGAAGTAATCGCAACAGTTACGACAACAAATGCGTCTTGAAATCGCCCGTTTGCTCGGTTTTGCGGCTACCGATATGTGGGATAACTACGCGCCCAGGAAGCGACTCGTCTTAAGGCCTGTTCTTTTCAACTGAACGGACCAATAATCGTATAATAAATGGTGAGATGAAACATGCAGACAAAATTTCAGACTTTACAGACTCATTTTATCATTTCACGTGTCTCACTTCATCATTTATTATACAACGACTATTCATTGATCGTTAAGGAAAAAGCTATCTTTTATAATTTTACAAGTGTACTCAAGCAATCTCAAATACCTCTTCATCTATATTTATCTGTATTTAAAAATGGCATGCAACTTTCGTCAGCATGTCATTCCTCGCGTCACAAATCCGACATGGTCGGCAAATGGAGGTGCAAGGAGCCTTAAGACGTCTTTTATAAATTTCAGCTGCCTGAGACTCGACAGATTGCTGCAGTCGTTCACTCCCCATTATTATTCGCGTTTCTGATGATTCACCTACCTCCGACAGCGGCGGCGGCACCACGCTCGTGAGACTGTGCTTGGCACGTACGTTTCTTGTGCGTTGTTGCTTGTCCGCGCGCTTACAACTGCAACAGCCGAACACACGACGGCAGATCGTACCGAATCTTCTCTCCGGCGGACAGCAAACGGTAGGCTCGGCAGGAGCGACCTTGGATCTCCGCGCGCAACACTTGAACTCTCGCAGTCGGGTGCATCTGTGGGCGAAAGGTCCACTGCTAGTCAAAATATTCTCTCATAGTGCCCAGTAAATCGAAAAACTCGAATCACGAAATGCGATCAAACTCGCAGTTTGCGACTCAAACGCTTATAACTTGCAAGGCGTAGCTCAAGTTTCTTTCTTTCCTTTTAACTCTTCGTTGACACATTTATTTTTTGCCGTTTAATTAGGCACTCGATAACTTTTCTCTCTAATATACCTTTACTTACTTAAATACCTCTAAATTCTGCTTATCCAACGTATAGAGATTTTGTAAATATTGCGTGTGCAAAAGGAAATTTGAAAAATTCGCTGCAATTATTTTTAAAATAGATAATTTAAAATATAAGAGAAATAATATTAAATAAAATTAAGATATAAATATTGAATTATATAATTAAATCACACACATATTTTTATTTAATTTAAGATGTAAAGTATTAAATTTACTAAGTAAATTTAATAAAGAAGATATTTTATTTAAGGTATAAGAGTATTGATAATTAAATATTTTTTTATTTAACAAGTCGAAATTTGTTTCATTCAATTTGTTGATTCCGATTTTGTAATATTTGAAATTTAATTTCCATCTACATATTTTTCGAGCAGACGAACCTGCTTCTTTTAATTCGATTTAGAAAGCTTTACAATCTTAGAAAGCTTCTCTCTTGAATCTCTAGTGAGAAATTGTTCTTTTACTGCCTACTCGAGGCAGAAAATAGAAACTCAAGTCTGCCCGTGTGAATTGAAGGAAGAAAAAGATTCTTCAAGTTTAGACATTGATATTATATCCTGATCGATGAAAACTTACTGCAGATTCCGGTGTATAAACGTGTATTTGTGAAATATAATGATTTCATGTGTTTGTGAAACCATTATGTGATGCCATATAAATTAAAGCTACTGTAACCACCCTCTAGACTCCCGTAAATATATAAGAAAATGTGTAAGAAATATGAAGGCCGCGAGTAAGAGCAAAATCAGCGACTCAGCGCTCTCTACCTGCACCGCGTCTTCAGCTTCGACCAGCAGGACGGCGCAATCGCTCCAGGTGGTGGCGGCGGCGCATCAAGTGCAGCCACCGCAACAGGCGGCGGTGACTCGCTGATCACCGTCATTCTCCCTGAATTCCTAGTCCAGAGGAGACCCTTGGGGTCTCTGCGACACGCTAAACACCTCATGCCTGAACAGCACTTGCAATAGCGACTTAGAGATCTTCCCCAACGCGTCAACAGCCTCTCGCTATCGCGTTGCTTCTCGTTGCTGGAGGCCAAGACCCTGAAACACACGATGATAATTATGACGAATATTCAACTGATGAGTAACGAAAGAAAATATTTTCTTTCCTTTTAACTCTTCGTTGACACATTTATTTTTTGCCGTTTAATTAGGCACCCGATAACTTTTCTCTCTAATACACCTTTACTTACTTAAATACCTCTAAACTCTGCTTATCCAACGTATAGAGATTTTGTAAATATTGCGTGTGCAAAAGGAAATTTGAAAAATTCGCTGCAATTATTTTTAAAATAGATAATTTAAAATATAAGAGAAATAATATTAAATAAAATTAAGATATAAATATTGAATTATATAATTAAATCACACACACATTTTTATTTAATTTAAGATGTAAAAGTACTAAGTAAATTTAATAAAGAAGATATTTTATTTAAGGTATAAGAGTATTGATAATTAAATATTTTTTTATTTAATTATCAATACTTATACTTTGATTTTACTTGTATTTCGTTACTATCTTAATTATACTTATATCTTAAGTGGGAAATTTAAGATATAAGAAAAATATTCACATAGAAAGAAGTAAACGCATGCTATGAGAAACGAATTTTATGTTTATATGAGTATTGAATTAAGATTTAACAACTATAGTATCTTAATTTTTCGTCTCAATTGAAGTCACGAGTGCCAAGCTAGGATCAATAATGTCGCACACGCCGCGGAAAATCTCGTTCAAATATAGTTCCTCTTCGCGACGAGAAAAGAAGAACGTTCGAGAAAATCCGCACGCTGTTTCTCGCGTGATTCACCTTGCACAACGTAAACTGCCAGCGCCACTTAATTCCCGACGATTATTATCGATTTTGCATTAGCCGCAGGAGTACCTACATTAGCACCTACATATGAGTCATGTGCAAAATATATAGTAATATCAGAAAGTATCGATTCGCATTAAAGGAATGAGGAAAGCGTCGCTCGCGCGACGTTTGCGTTCGATCAAGCCGTAGCCGCGGGGGTTACCAAGATTACGCAGCGTGATTCTCACCTCTCGTAATATTGCAAATCAAATTTCACGTTTACTGCAAGGCATCAGAACGAGATCCCGTCGCTCCGACGCTCTTACTCCGGCGTGCGCCCGAAACTATAACTTCCTCAAGTCCCGCATTATTTCCGGACAACACAGGCGCAGCAAATTCCCCTGTAAACTGTGCAGTGCGTATTTAAAAGCGCAAACGCGCGTTCGCCGTTGCAATAACGTGAAAGCCGTTTTTCGTGACTCTACCAGCCCAGCTAGTCGTGGATCGCGATCCCCAGTCGCGGCCTGGCCCACACGACTCCCAAACGGAGGATCCCACACGAAGCTGATCACAACACACGCACACACACCGCCGAGAACCGCGCAAGTCCCATCCCTCTGTCCGCGCGCGCACGCAATCGCCGGGAAAAGCACCTCTTACCTGAACGTGACTCCTTCGTGCGCGCCGAAAACTTTCCTTTCACAAACTCCAACAGAGAGAGAAAGAGAGAGAAAGAGAAATAGATAAATAGAGAAAGCGAGAGAGGGGGTAGTAGGAAAGAACAGCCGGGGGTAGAAAGAACGCTGATGATGCGAAAACGCGCGTTTCAGGTGGTTGCCGGCCCGATGAAGCGACGATCGCGAACTTTGCTATGCGAAACAGCCCGAGGAGATGCAAAATCGAAGAGATCGAACGACGAGAGAAAGAGAGAGAGAGAGAGAAAGAGAGAGACTGATAAGAACGGAAGCGGGGATCGCGACGGTCGTCAACGTGAGTCAACGAGTGGCCATCGCTCTGGCTGGCCTCAGGTGACTTCGAGCTGTGATTGCGGGTGCCGCAGTCGCCGCGGCCACAGCCGGACGTGGCCGCGAGGGTGGCAGAGGGCGAGAGGCCGCCGGTCACGCAAAGATTTCCAGCCCTCCCCCGCCCATCCGCCCCGTGTGCCCCGGACTGACCGCGAAATCGATACGCGCGACACGAAGTTCTTTACCTTAACCGACCGGTCGGTTTTCAAGGCGTCGCGGCCCCGCCGCGCGTGCGGCCGATTTTCCCCGTTCGCGCCTACCCGCCGCCGGCGCTGAGGGCAACTTTTTTAAAGTCGCGCGTGCAATTCGCCGCTTTAACCCTCGCACGCACGCCCCAGAGCGGGGGCAACACTTTCGCTGATCGGCGCGAGAGCGATCACCGCGGGATCGATTGGGAAAGTTCTCTCACTGGAATTAGGGCTGTTTGCACGTATGGGAGTGTAGCGGCTAGATCAAATCTCGCGGGGCGCCTTCAAGGTCGTACCTAGATTAGGTGAAGATATGTATTCGGAAAATATGTATCGCGTCCTTCTCCCTCTCTCTCTCTCTCTCTCTCTCTCTGTCGTGCTCCATAAAGAAGGGACAATACCGGCGTTATCATCGTTGCCACTTGTTCGCGCTTTCGCTCGGGCTCTGCATAGTTGAAGTACATAGTACATACTTGATCATTTACATGAGAGAACGCGAAATGTCCCTCACCGATTTTGATGGCCTTTGGATATGTTGCGGAGCAACCTAAAAATAAGAGGCTCGTATTTCTTTTTCTTTTATATGTGTTCTCGCTCGCGCGTTGAAGGATGGAAACAACCCCTCGAAGGTGAGAGGGGCTAATGTCTTCGAAACCGTGAGGGATACGAAAAAATAATCCTGCGTCTCTTTCGTGTGTGAGGGGTGAGAGTGCATTGAAATGTAACATTTTTGGAAAATCCAAATGCAAGTTATAAAAAGTGTCAAATATCACTCACGATCAATTTGATCAAATTTCTTCTCAGAGATTCCTTTCAACCTCTAAACGTGCAAGAAAGCACATTGAAAAGAAATATGCGTCTCTTATTTTTAGCTGCTCTAACATATATCCTCATAAAAATTACCGATGACCACCAAACGTGCGAGAATGCCAATTGTCGAGAATGTCAATTTAATCAAATTTTCTTTAAAGGATTGTTCGACAGCCATCTACAATTTTTCTAATAATTGATTATGATTGGCCGAGAATGCACAGTCAATTTAATCAAATTTTCTTTGAAGGATTGTTCAACAGCCATCTACAATTTTTCTAATAATTGATTATGATTGACCGAGAATGCACAGTCAATTTAATCAAATTTTCTTTAAAGGATTGTTTAAGGGCCATCTAATAATCTAATAATTCTTCTAATAATCGATTGCGATTGGCCAATTTGCTTATTACTTACGTCTTACTGCTTACTTTCAATCCCATTGTAGATAACCCTGTAAAGCCTCTAAACGTATATATAAAAAAAAATTACGTCCCTTATTTTCAGCTAATCCACATATTCCCCAAGCTCGTGAGAATTGCTGAAGAACGCTCTTTTATACGTTTTCTTCTGCGTTAAATTCCGCCACAGTCATTCTACCACAGTCTTATTTTCGTTTTATCGTCCAACCATAAAAATGAGTCGTCAAATTTGATCTTCCACACGAAACAAGTCCGAGAAGGAACCTAATTTTCTTTCGGAGAAGTAAACTTCTCGGCAGCCAACCACCGCGAGCTTTACAAATCAACAACACGACCGTAAACTCGTAAACGTTGGTAAGCGTTGAAACTAACAAGCAGCTGTAACAACTTCTGTCGCCGACACGGCCCGTGACACAAAGGATATATTATTATGCGGTGGCAAAATTATGCGAAAGAGAGAGAGAGAGAGAGAGAGAGAGAGAGAGAGAGAGAGAGAGAGAGAGAGAGAGAGAGAACCGGCGCGTTTCGCGCGCGCGCGGCGCAGTTCGTTATTTTATCGCTTTGGACTGTGTTTCGGACATTTTCACGGGACATCCCGGTGTATATTTTTCAGTGTCCCGTTTATTTTCGTATACTGCACCGCGCTTTGTCACAGCGCGGACACGTTCGCGTGCCAACGTCGTTTCTTTTTTTTTACGTCCGCGCTTCTGTGTAACGCGAACACACAACATTTTTTTTCATATTTTAAACGAAGGGAGATAGTGATTTGTGTCACAAACTAGGCACGTCCGCGTACCGATATCATTTCTTTGTGTGTGTTTACACTCTCGTGACGCGTGAAAACACACGACGATATTTCCATACGTTTTGAACGAGGGAAGATATCGATTTGCCACAAACCATGTCACACAACATAATAATTTTACCTCTGTAAAACACACGTCGTATTTTCAAATACCTCAAAGAGAGATGTTGACGTGACAGAGATATTGATGCGCAACACGGGCACACTCGCGATTTATTTCCTCTGTGTTCGCATTTTCATAAAGAAAAAATACACAACGCACACTTTTAAATATTCCCAGCAAAAAAAAACAGATTCCCCGATGGTAAACAAATAGTAAAGGAATAGCAGGCCAATTAGAGTCGTCGCTGAATTCGATAAATGCGCTACCACATTAGACGGCGTCGTTTGCAGAGCACACCCTCGCCTTTAAAGAACGCGGGCCCGAAACGCGACGGTGCTTATCAGCCGTGTCGCTTTCGCTGTTCCGGGGTAGACCGTCGCGTTCCCCCGACCTCAGGGCGGAGAGGCTCGGAAAATCAATTCGTCCTGAAAAGGGTTAACCCCAGTGGCACATTAAACCGGTGTGGCACGCCGGTGGGCCTGGTCGCGCGATTACACGGCTGCATCACGACACGCTAGACAAAACCATTAAAAGTTGTACGTGTTCTGAAAGTTGCTATATCCATAGCGGGAATGTAGCGTTTGAGCCGCTGATTAAAGAGAAGGAGGATGAGCAGAGGCAGGGCAGAAAGGGGAGGAGAGAGAGAGAGAGAGAGAGAGAGAGAGGAGAGGCAGCGCAAAAGCACGCGCGGCGCCGAAAGTTCAGGTCGAAATAATGACGGTGTCATTAAAGCGCGAGCATCGCGATCTACTTCGACGCGGGGGAGGAGGGGTGAAGGGAAATAGAGGGGGTAATTTCGACGCAGTGAACACTTTCCTTCGTAATTGCTCACCACTAACGAGACCGGAGGCTTCTCCTCTCGGAGACCACGCGACGAACCGTCCAG